GAACTTCTTTCCTGTGAGGGTGACAGAGCATTGGAACAGGTTGCCCAGAGAGGTAGTGGAGTCTCCTTCCCTGGAGATACTCAAAACCTGCCTGGATGTGATCCTGGGCAATGTGCTCTAGAGGACTCTTCTTGAGCTAGGGGGAGGGGGGTGTTTGGACTAGATGATCTCCAGAGGTCCCTTCCAACCTCAACTATTCTGTGATTCTGTAATGTTCCTCAGATGAGTTCTTGCTACAAATGCATAGTAACTTCACTATAGTCTCAATTTTGAAAACTACCACTTTATATTTTGACTGACTGAAAAGCAGGACAGCTGCATATGATTTGAAATCCTGGGTAATTGTATTAAGAATCATCACCCTAAACCACAGAATGCTTTTTACTCATAATATGACACTTTTACCAAAGGCACCTCCAATCTCTTAATTTAATTTTTAACTTTGAGGTAAACAATCTCAGTATACAGATTTGCATTATTCTGTAACACAGGAAGAAAGGGAAAACCCCAAACTAATAATAATGCAATGAGCAGCTGAAAATCCTTAATAGTTTAGCTAAAAAACTACAGACCAAGCAGACAGTTTGGTAACAATGTTACAAAAACTGTAAATGATAAAGAATGGATGCCCATCTACTGAAATAGGTCTTCAACACAAAACATTTACAGATCATTCTCTTTGTATAACGTTGCTTTACTGCTCATATCTGGTTCTGAAGACTTAGCAGAAGGACGGTCAACATAAAGATAGGACATTGCAACAGACAAGTATTACTTTTCTTAAAAACACACCCACAAGACGTCACACCCATAGGAGAGAATATCCTTTCTTCTAGAAAAAGGCACATAAAACTTAAATTTTTCAAACAGGCTTTTAACAAGCATGCTGAAAAGAAGGCGGTAGCACAGCAAACCTCAGGGTTTCTGGAGCAATAACTGCCAATCTTCAGCATTCTTTGTCTGCTATATACCTCCATCAGATTTTTGACTTGAAGACAGTGTCTCTGGATGTTTTCAGTATGGCTCTGAGGATAATGAGCAAGTGCTCTATCTTGCAAACACTAGGCCATTGCAGTAAAAGACATCTGCTGGAAAAAGTACGCTCTGTCCAGACATGAAATTTTATCTTGGTCTCAGCGGAGTTTAGGGGAGAGTTGAAGAGATTCCACAGGAAGTTTCCTTCACAAGGGAAGCATGTATCTAACATTTTTTTCTAGGTCCTGTTACAGCGGAATGATTGAAGCTACTGTGATGCTCTGTCAGCTCCTCTAAGTTGGAGTTATCAAAAGCTAAACCTTGGCCTCTTCTCTATAACCAGGATCACCATTAACGACTGATTATGACACCACAGCAGCCTTACCATTAATCTGAAGTCCTGAAAGTCCAAAACTGCTTTAGCAACTAAGTGAAAATAAACTTCACTACTGCCCTTTTGATATTTTTATGTAGGTATGAAGAAATCAGAATGGCATCTTGAGATATAGCAGTTACACATGGAAACTTCTAGAGTAATAGAAGTTCAGCTCTATAGTGGAAGACTAACATTTCTGCATCAGCTTTAGAAAGAAGACAAACATATGTAAAAACCCCAATATAATGAATGTTGAGTTCTATTTAGTGATGTTCCATAAACTGTTTGTAACATTAATGGAAAACTACGCATTGGAAATGGACAATCACTTAAGTATCCAGAGAAGAATCTAGAGGTCAATGGACCAGACAACACTCCCAGAACCTCAGAGGATGGTCCTAAACTGTGGATTATGTCCGTTAAGCAGGTGTTTGATAAGATGAACTGTAATTACATGTACCAAGTCTACCCTGGAATCATGCATCAATTTGGTAATCAGTCCCACTGAGAAGAGCAGGAAATATCACCTTTTAAAGGCTCTGTTTTATAAGGTCTATGGACTTCCATAACACTGAGCTAGTATATACTCAATTGTCTTTACCAGGATAAGGAACTAGAAAGTTTGTATCACTTGGCTTCAGAAACTTAGCAGATAGCAACACTTTAACAGCTTAATAACAGATCAGACTTGTAAGAAGGTTAACAGACCATGACCAAGATCTTGACAGGATTTCAACTGCACCAGAATCCACATAATCCTGGAATTGAGTGGTCTACATTTAGACAAATTATAGAAACTTAAATGTAACTATTCACAATTCTTTTAGTGCCATATTTCAATACGAACAGTATTTGAGAGCACATCAGCTGAGAGACTCCCTGTTGTTACGTTTCTTGGAAGGACAATAGTCAAGATGGGAAGAAATCCTTAGAATTTGTTCTGTAGGATTCCACACTTATCTAAGCCACATAGAACTGCTTTAGAAAGCTGGAATTCAGCTAAACATCTACAGTTTTATATTCTCTTTAGTAAGAGATTTAGTTAGCCAGTAAGCAGTCTTTTTTGTGTTTGTTCTTTAAAAAAAAGAGGAAGACTATTTACTCGGAACAAAAGTAAATAACATCTCTTCTACACAACTGCAAATCTGAAAAGGCGGGTATATCTTCCACATGAAGAAGAACTTCTTCATCCTTCAGCATTCCTTCCACAGTCTATGGCAGTTTCGCGCCTAGAGCTACGATATCCCTTTCTTCCACACTAATAGCCACTTATTGCCATCTTCAAATCCATCTTCAAGGTCCATGAAATCAAGTCAAACCAACCCACTTTTTCCTCCTGAAAGGGCTAGTATGGGGAAAGGGGGGTGAGGAGAAGCAATGGATGTGAAACCTCAGAACACTTGGAATCTGCATAACTGAAATAATTTAGGATACTATTAGGAAAGAGAATGGGGGAAAATTTAATTGCATTCCCAATTGCATTTCCAATTTTTTCAGTTCCTGCTTAAGGTGCTTATCTTTACTTCTGTATTTCTGATTCTGCATGTAATTTCCCATTTTTGCTTTGCATTCCACAATCTTGTAGTATCTGCCAAAACAGCTTCATACTAAATAGAAATTACTTTATGCTATTTACACGGAGCATTTTAAGAAATGCATAGCATCATGCATGACCATTGCTTATGGCAACTAAAAAATTGTACTTAAAAAGACAAAAAAAAAGTTGTAAAATCAGCAGACGAGACTGGCACATTAATGTGACAACAAGTATTTTCCAAGTATTTTGGATATGAACCGTTCCACAGAAGAACAGTAATGTTCTCAGAATCCTACCAAAAACAGAGTGCACAGAAGTAAGGCCCCAAAAAGTCAGAATCGAGTAGGCTACCCCATTAATTCCTCCCTCAGCCCGCAAAACTGATAGCATGAAAATACAGAAAGGATCTCTTTCCACCTTTTACAGCCATTTGCTCAGGATCACACTAGAAATCCGTCAAAGCTCAGAACTGCGTCTATCTAGCCCAACCAAGTCATCCATAAAACTGTCTTTTTCATTACAATGTCATTAACTAGCATACACAGTTGTAAGTTTTCACTTCTCATCCACTGCTAGTAGGTCCACAGTTATCACTATCCCTTCCTGCAATAGTAGGTGAGAAGAGTCATACCCAAGTATTAAGAATGGTACTTATCTAATGTAAGGAAAATCCAGCAGCAAATCTGGAATATCTGGCCAAGACCATTCGTAAGCAGGACGCTTGAGGTCTATGACTCAGTTTGCCCACAAGTAAGAAACAGTTAACATTTAACCCTCCACTATAGGATTAAGATAGTGTTTGCACAGTTCTTAGAAAACATACAACAAATGCGATTAAAAATCCTGGCTGACTGAAATAGTGGCTCTTAAAAAAAAAAAAAAGATTTGAAAAAAGTTATAGGTCTTTACTTTTAACAGCAACTGCACCTACAAATTTCAATGTTTCTCATGCCTAGGAAAACATATTCACAATATCCCTACACAGGTAATAAATACTGCTTGCTGCAGTGA